TCCTGCTGCCTCAACAGCCGTGGCCCCCTGGTCCGTTCCAGGCATAGCCACCCCCAGCTGCGGTTTCTCTCTTTGGTCCCTCTTCTTTCCTCTCGTAATTTTCACCTCCTTACTTGGTCAAATCCCACTTCTGACACCAATTGTGAAGCTGACCGTTGAGCGGCCCAGACCAAGCAAGGAGGCAGAGGCAGAACGTCCAAAAATATAAGCCGACGTGGGCATTTATTAAAATCTTGAGCACAGGACACAGCCTCAATCTTGCTGTTCCTGTGCACACAGCCACCAGCCTCAAGGATCTCACACACCCTACCAGCCTCCAAAACAGACAGGGCAACAGACCCTAAATACACCCACTCTAATCAGCACAACAAGACACAGGTGAGGGGGGAGGAGACAACACAGGACACCAGGTGCACACAATCATCAGACTGAAGCCGTCAGTCCATAGTGACGAAGTTACCTTCGTCACATATGCATTACTGATTATTTTTCTATAATAATAGTCGAATCATCACAATTATATACATATCATTATCAATGTAGTTGGTCAATAAATAATATTGTGATATTTGTTTTTTATCTACATTCTCCACTCTGTTATTTGATTACCTCAACATATTTTGCTAAAATACAAACCAAAGCAGTGATATAGCAAGATGAACTCAAACACAATTGCATCTCTTATCTACAATTATATTTAGTCATATTTTTCCGATTTAATTTGTTTATGTTGTAGAGTCTTCATTTTTACCTTAACCTAAAAAAAGTCTGATTAAAAGTTTAGGCAAAAGTAACAGACTATGACTCTGTGTTGTTATGCATTCTTTGATAATAGTATCAACACAATACCTGTCGGGACATGGAACAATGGGCCAAAGCTTCACTTTGATCCACTTTTCTTTTTTTGTACTTCGTTTTGGACAAAGTGTCCGCCAAATGAATAAATGTAAATCTTATGTAAAATACTTTTTATAAAACGTTACGTTAAAATAGTACTTTCAATACCTTGCCTTTTAGGAATGTCTTCACAAAACAAAAAAAGCAGCTTGTAATATGTTAGCTTAAGCAGCTACACCACACCTAAAGAGACTGCTGAAATTAAATAGTATAAATTGAGTATAAAAGCTATTTCTTAAATCAGGACATTTAGGATCATAGAATCTGCAAACAAGACCTGACAAAGCTTTCCATTCTAACTCTTGGCACTTAACAGTTGTATTACTCATTGCTACAAAATCTGGTGTTAAAGATTAACAGGGGAACTGAAGTAGTAAAGAAAGAAGTAACGCTCTTAATGGCGAATAAACGGTTGTAGCAAGAGGGAAGTTGTAAGTGGAGGGAGAGAGTGGCAGCAGGAAGGGAATGATGGAAGGATATAGAGATCTGGGAGTGTGGTTAGAGGGGGTGGTGGACCCAAAATAGCCAGCTCACATGTTTGCTGTGTACGTGGTGAGCTATGAAACCAGGAGAAAAGCCTCCTGCTGAATGCCTGTCCAATCTAATGTTCACCCTCACCCCTAATTTTTGAAAATGTGATTGCCATTTTGCTGTGTGTGTGTGTGTGTGTGTGTGTGTGTGTGTGTGTGTGTGTGTGGTGTGTGTGTGTGTGTGTGTGTGTGTGTGTGTGATGTGTGTGTGTGTGTGTGTGTTGTGTGTGGTGTGTGTGTGTGTGTGTGTGTGTGTGTTGTGTGTGTGTGTGTGTGTGTGTGCGTGTGTGTGTGTGTGTGTGTGTGTACACCTTTTCCAATCAGAGAGGCTCTCCCTTGACAGTTAAGCCTGCTCCCGCTGTTCCCTCTGTGCTCATCATCTTCATCATTGTCTCTCTTGTCTCCATAATATTAACTGATGTTAGACAGTGTCTCAGGCTGGCTGTCGTCCAATTGGGAAAAGGTCAGTGACTAGGCCCGTTTCTCTTCTATGCTCATTTTGACCTAATGTAGAGGCAGACAAATCAGATTACCTCCCCCCCCCCCCCCACACACACACACACACAGACAGACAGACAGACAGACAGACAGACAGAATAAGACCAGACAGACAGTATAAGACCAGACAGACAAACAGACAGTATAAGACCAGACAGACAGACAGACAGACAGTATAAGACCAGACAGACAGACAGACAGACAGTATAAGACCAGACAGACAGACAGACAGACAGTATAAGACCAGACAGACAGACAGACAGACAGACAGACAGTATAAGACCAGACAGACAGACAGACAGACAGACAGTATAAGACCAGACAGACAGACAGACAGACAGACAGTATAAGACCAGACAGACAGACAGACAGACAGACAGTATAAGACCAGACAGACAGACAGACAGACAGTATAAGACCAGACAGACAGACAGTATAAGACCAGACAGACAGACAGACAGACAGACAGACAGTATAAGACCAGACAGACAGACAGACAGACAGACAGACAGACAGACAGACAGACAGACAGACAGACAGTATAAGACCAGACAGCAGATTTGGCCCTGCAGCGTGTGTGCTTTAGATCCTGAGCTCTGTCTCGGCCTGTCTCCGACTGTTTCATCTTACTGACTCGATGCAGCTTTTACAGTTATTCATGTACTGCCTGCATAACAAACAATATGCACACACTGGTGGACTTGCGTTGGGCAGGCTGAGACACAAACATCCTACACACACGGTCCTTTCAGTTAATTCCTTTCATTCCACAGTGTGTTTCAACATGCACACTAGATGATTGCCTCTCTCCTCTCACTCTTGCTCTTGCTCTGTCTGTCAATGTTGCGTCTCTGTGTGCTGAACCAACCGGGCTGTTCATATCAAGGAGGTCCCATGACCCTCTCCACAGCTGATCCTGGGAGCAAAGCATGCTGGGAGGCACATGGCTACGAGGGCGGCATTGCAGTGTGCTGTGATTGGCTCCTTGAGTATTGTGTGTACAGTATGCTGATGTGCAGTTTGGTGTTTTTAGGGTCACAGACTTAAAGGCAGCTTGTGTTGGCCAATCGAATATATGGTAAGACATTCAAATGATATAACCAGCTAATCAAAAACACCATGGCAAAGGGGTCGTTCCTTCTCAACACAAAGTCATATTAAATAGAAAGGTCCTCAGGTCTCATTTCTGAAACGTAAATCAGTTATAAACAGGTTTTTATATAGGATTCAGAGATAAGGATAGGTTAAAGGCTGAACAAAAGTAAATGAACAATCCTTGAAGTAAATATTTGTCACACTTATCTTAAAGAGGGTGTTTTTACAGATAAATATGCTTTAAATGTGACTAGTTATGAACAAGACTGAAGTTTTTAGAAGTGGTACAATAATTCTAAATTCTTAATATATCATGAAATCAAGGTTCTTCCAGATGTGCCCTGCATTTCTATTTTTAATTCATTATAATTCAACTGTAATAGTTTAAGACTAAAATCAAAAAATTGAGCTATCTGTGACCCATTTATATTGGTTTCTATGGGGCAGCAGAAGCATTATTTAACCGATTCTCAACAAAGCACATTATGCAGTAAACTGAATACAGTATATTGCCAGACACTTACAGAGGATTCAAGACTTATTTTATTTTTTACCACAATAGCTAGCTTGTCAGTAATGTAGATTCGTGTTTAACTGGAAACTTAAGTCACAGTGTGTAATCATGAGTAATTGTGCAGCTCTGTGTATGTTAATCTATTGCAGTTTAAGTGAGTTATCATTAACTACACTAGGTTGCCAGTTACATCTAGTTTAAAAAATGCAGTCTAATACTAGAGTCCTTAAAAAAATCCTACATTTATTAAGATTTTAATGTACAGAATATAAAAAAGAAAAAAAGGTGTTGATCCAACTTTATGATCATGGAGGCTTACGTTTGTGGGATTATTGCTCTAGACTGCATTATTTTTAGTTGGATGTAACTCATAAACTGCCAGCTGAGTAATGTAATAGAGCAAATAAAGATGCACTTAATAAATCAGTATTATCTTCTTATCAACCCTAAGCCACAGTGTGTCCTGTGTTCACTGGTTACAGGCATGGTGCAGGTTAGGGTGGAGGGTCCTGCTGCTCACTGTGTGTTGTATGGGGATGGATATTAAATGACGCCCCAGGTCTCTGCAGTTCTCTGTTTTTCATCCTTCACACTAACCTAACTACTAACTACTAACTAACCACTACAAGATGGTGTAGTGGCCAGACGTAGTACTGCAGGGACTGAACATTGGGGTGTCATTTGAGGACTCCTTGCTATCCACTCTGCTGTGTCCCCGCGTCACCCTATGTGTGCTTTCTTCTGCTTTCCACTATACTGCCATCTTATCAGAAACGCTTGAGTGTCGGGACCTTTCTGTGGGGACCTCTGCTTCTGTTTGACTCTACAGAATCACTCGCTTGTTATTGAGCTCGCCTGCTAATTGCCTGTCCTTTTCCCCCTAGAGTGCTGTAGTTATAGTAATAACATAGACTGTTTATTATGTGAAGGAACATATTTGTCCTTTTTTTTTGTTTTGTCCACTTTCATCAAGGTTAAATAGTGACCTCATGTTACACTCTCAGCCCATAGAGGGAGGATGAACTCTCTCCCCCTGTCTGTTGCCATCATCCCTCCCTCTCTCTCTTTCCCTTCCTCTTTTATTCTGTTTCTCAGGTTACCAAACATGAATAACGGAGGAGACTTGACCAGCCAACATGAACACACAAACACACACTTCTCCTCCCCCTCTCCCCTCACCCCTTCCTCCCTTCAGCCACATCTCCATCTCCCCCTTGGATTGTGTGCGTTAATGTGCAGGAGCGCAGCATCTTACTGTGCATACACATGTACCCTGTTAAATAAGTGAGGCTGCAGAGAGGTGGGGGGAAGGGGGAGGAAACAGGAAGGATGCAAGAAAGGGAGGTGGGGAGGCAGAGGCACCAGCCACGAGTGTGTGTGTGTGTGAGAGAGAGAGAGAAAGTCAAAGAGAAAATGGGAGGCAGCTTCACCCACCCAAACTGAGAGGAGGGGAGGGGAGGGGAGGGGAGGACAGACAGCGTGCGCGTCCCTCCAACAGACAGAGGTGAAAGGAAAGTGGGAATGAGAGACAGACGAGAGGGTAGAAGAGGAGCACAATGAAGGAGTGCCATTATCCATCCTGGCAGCACTGCCATCACACCATCTGCTGAGAGGGAGAGACAGAGGAGGGCAGTAAAGAGAAGAGGAGGCAGCCAAACGGAGGATAGATGGAGAGGAGCTGCCGGCAGTGACTTTGTGAATTAATCGAGCGGATCAGAGGAGAAACACGTTTTCCAGGGAGTGGACGGACGGAGAGCCAGAAAGAGGAAGGAGAGGACAGAAGACCGGACAGTCTGAGGCTGTTTACAAATTAATGTGGTTCTCATGTAAAAAAGAAGCTTTAGATGAATCACCATGGATGATCAACTGTATGCTTTTTAAACCAAAAAAGGGAACTATTTATTTAGCCATTCACAAAAAAAACTCTTAGAGAAATTGATCAGACTCACTTTATCCAAAACTATTTGAATGACTTTTCTGTTTGTCTTTTTAAACATAGACTCTTTGTGACATGACTTTCTATTCTCTATGAGCATTCTCTGCAGGACGTTATACAATCACTATCTTTGTTAGCTGCTGCTGAGAATATTCAGGGTTTTATGCAACTTTTCTAAACATCAGTGTTGTCTTTTAGAAGTAAGTGGTTTGTGTGGCTGTTGTTGTTTATACTGTAATTAGGAAAGTGCTAATTGTTCTTTTGATATAACAGTTTTGCATGCCATAGTCGGAATCAGTGCATGCAGCCGACATGGGATGTCAACATTGATTGGGTTTTATGGCTGGCGCGACGCCGGTCAAACTTTGATCATTTCCTGTAACCTATTGATCTCTCTCTGAGTCTTTAGTTGTTCCAGCTGTTGGAAAACAAGCTCCATGTGCAGCCTTTGATGCAGCAGCTAATTGCTGTCATGTGATTTGACAAAGCAGTTATCTCTTTGTCCGAAGATTTCTGCGGTTGTCGGGACTTCTCCGTAAATTTCCTCCGCAGGCATCTCTTTTTAATGTCTGTTGCCATAGCAACGGGCAGCAGCTGCAGACAGAATAAGATTTAAAGTAGTTTTTTGTGTCTTGTATTTTAAAACCGGTGCTGTTCCCTTAGGATAACTGTGTATGTTGTGTAGATAAGAAAAACTAAGGTTTTTTTGAGACTTTCTTTCTCAGAATGTTTTCTCTTTACTAGACATCCTTTGTCTATTCGGAGCGCAGCAGTCTCCGAGAATCAGGGTTGTTTCAGGTCACCTGTTTCCCCCCTCCCCATTCTGTGCTTTAGTCTAGTGTGAATCGGCGCTGCCCCGCTTGTCCTGATCTCACCTTTATCGGCAACTACAATTTTCATCAGTGAAGCTGCCAATATCAGGAATGACTGCATAAATGAGATTATCGTGCAGTGTCACTTGTACATGTCACTCAGTGCAGCTGCTGTGCCACTAATCACTGATCATTAGTACTGTCTTTGTGACGGTCTGTGTGTAGGTGAGTCAGGATTTATCCTCCTGCAGAGGGTCATTTCCCCTGCAGTCACCTGACCTACATTGTGTTCTGTGCACTTAAACAATTCGGGCAGGGCATTGAAACTCTCAGCATCCCTGTGTTGATTTTCCTCTTGTGTGTCCATTTAGGATCTTTTGCCTTTTTAAGAACTAATTCCCTCTCAAGACTAATTTCTGTTTGAATTAGGTGTGTGACAGACGGTGTTGTTTGTTGTGCCTGCTTTTTGATTGTCCAAATACAGGGTGTCTTTCCCATCATCCCACCCTGTCTGGCAGTGCGTTAGTGTGACTAACCTCCATGGTGCTTTTTGGCCAGGACCAGATGGATGACTAGCTAGAATTACTAGACAATCCCTCTGTGGTGCTAGACTGGTGTGGGCGACTGTTCCATTACCATGCATTCAGCGCCCACTACAAGCTGGTGCGTAGTTCTTTGAACACAGTTAACTTCGGAAATGTTAGTGTGTGGAAAAGTCAACCTCCTCACTTGGCATCACTGAAACTTCGGTGGCAGATTCACAGAGTTGTGTAAGTGGTGTAGGCAAGGTGGTGTAAATCTTGCTCTCCTTTCAGGGAGTAAAGGTCAATAGATTTTAAATATAACAGGTGCGTAAACAGCACTGAGGTGTAGGCCAGCCAGCTTTCTGCCGGACTGCCTTACCTTCTACTGAGGTCAAACTGCTGCACATGGTTTAGTTAGTTGGACTCTGCAAGAGACTGTTACTGTAAACAGACTGTTGTTTGCCTTCTAGGTTGGACTATGCAGAATAAGGGATGTTATGCAGCGTCTGTACAGTAGTGTGAACTAGAACTGAGAGCCAACCGGCTGCTTGATAAGCCCTGCCTTAGATAAGGTTCCAGAGTATAACATGTGGCTTGTTAATATCATATAGGGCTGAGTCAAAGCTCTTCTCTCAGGAAACTGACTACAATCTGGGCTTGTTGTTTTAAACCACGCAGTAACCAAGTAATAGGGTGAGAAGAGAGCTGCAAATAAAAACTCAACATACCAACAGTTTTATTTGAGCCTCTCCAGCTTGGTGAGTTCAACTCCCAGGAGAATCCAGCACCATTCAGGGAATGCTGGGTTGAGGGCTCAAACCGGACAATTCAGGTCTCATTACCATCACAAGCCCACCGGTAGTCATCATCAGCCAATGACCTACATTCTCTGGTGTTACATCACCACCGTGCTACTGCAGAGTGTGTCACTGTACCAGACACAGACAACATCTCAGAGTCAGTTTACCACTAACTAATGGTGCTCTAGAAAAAAAAACATCCTTACAGAGTTGGCCAGTTTTGGAAACACACTTGAACCAAGGCCACTTGTTTTAGCCATATCAGGAACTTGAGTCAGGAACGGGCCAAACTCTAACGGCCCAGTCTTATACTCGCTTCTTTTCTGTTTTCTACTTGTCTAAATAGGTGACCGTGCCTGGCCTCTAGATCCTTAATATTAAAGTTGGCGAGGCGGAAAGACAGGGCTCACCATTAATATATTATACAGGGGACTGTTAACCAGACAGCCTGGAGAACGGGAGAGCATACGAGGGAGGGGGTGAGGGGGAGCGAGAGATCATCTGGAAGAGGAGAGAGGAAGTGGTGGTGAGGGAGAGGGCGGAGGCGTTGGAGAGGCAGAGACTGGCAGAGTACATTGTGTGGAGGAAGAGAGAGGGCTTCCAGGAGAAGAGAGACAGGGAGAAGGGAGGAAAGTGTGCAGAGAAAGAGAACGGGGCAGGGCCAGAAGTTATCTGGAAGAGGAGAGGAGAAGAAGAAGAAGACGCAGGGAGGGAGAGAGCCAGGGCCATTCAGAGAGGACATGATATCATTTGGAGGAAGAAAGAGAGGGAGTAAAACAGGAACGCGTGGTAAGATTTGAGATTACGATGCACTCGAAAGTGTTAAAGAAAGCGTGCTGCGTTGGATGCTAGCCATACATCAGTAAGCCTCTCTCTTCTTTAGCAGCTTAATTCAGCTCCGCAGGTGCTCACTGTAGTATCGAAAAACAATTGGAGCTGTCTATTGTGTGTGTTGCTGGAGTGTTCATGCGCGCAAGCCCCTTGTGATCCCCTCGTTGGCTGCTAATAGGATTTTTATACGCATGTGTCAAGCAGGATAGAGCTGCCAAAAGGCTTCACACTTCCACGAATGTACACACCACAACACACACACAGATAATCTTAAGAAGCATTGTGGGCAGGGAAGATTTATACAGCCTCACACACGTGTCAACACATCACATATGAGACCGCACCCCTCAGTGCAAAGACACATGGGAGGGGGCGTTGAGAGACAATCACTTGTGTTGATTCTCCATGGTGAAGCCGACAGCTGGATGACAGGCCCTCACTGAGAGGCTATTAAGTCCGGTCAAGATACTCACAGATATTGTTTTACATTGTGGCAAAAACTCCAAGACGAACACTTTGTGGAGAGCTAAGACTGTCGTCCTCAGTCCCTGGGAACACATGAACCTTGATGCAGATTTAAAAGTGAACTGATGACAACATGATATGCACTGGTGCAGAAGAAATAAACTTTTTTCATCGGCTTCTTCCATTAACTGGGACATCCAACTTTTCTTCCTCTCATTCTCCTTTCATCGTGGGTACAGCTGTTTTTAAAGCAGCTGGGTTTCAGCCGCCTGGTAACGAGTGGAGGACAGAAAACCAGACAGATGGGTGCTGCTCTTATGCTGACAGAGACATACAGATGGCTGTGTGTCCTTATAGAGAAACACATTGAATACTGAGACATAACGACTTTGATTGAATCACTAGAGACTGTGTGGATTTAAAGACTGACACTGCAGATTCACTATGGAGCTCGTCCCAAAAACCAAGTACACCCACTTTCGGAGTGAATCGCTGAGCTCAACTGATGAAACAAACTCCAATCCATCATCGTTCCCTCCATCCAGTCCTGCCACCCCGCTCACTCCCTCCCCTGGTTTACCTTCCTCTTTCTCCTCCTCGTCTCTCACTCCCATCTTGCCCCCTTCCTCTCCCCGCCAGGCTGAGAACAGCCCCACCACCCTCTGCTCCTTCTTCCCCAGATTGGGATCCCTCCGCCTGGGTGTCTCTGCCACTCTTCTCCCTGGACTCAAGGCCTCGAGAGGGCTGCAGCTGCCCCATGCGCCTGTTGAGTCCTCTGGGGACGACAGGAGTAACTCCAGCTCCTCCCCTATTTTTCATCACCTAATTCCCCCTTTAACCGCTCCTTCTCCCCCTCCCCGACCTCCTCTGCAGGACATGAACCGGCTGGGAGGGGCGTCCAGGAGGGCACGCGTGGAAGGAGGGCAGCTGGGAGGAGACGAGTGGACGCGCCATGGCTCCTTTGTCAACAAGCCCACCCGCGGCTGGCTGCACTCCGACAGTGTGGTCACCACCGCCGGTGTTTCCTACAGTGTCCGGGTGAGTGTCTGGCACACTCTTACAACCCCCTCAAATATATAATCACACATCCCTCTGTCCAGACAGTTTCTACTTTCTATGCATATAAACCGCCTTCTCTCACATTTTTAGACTCAAGAAATGAAAAGAAAACACCATTGCTTTTCTTCCTCTGTTGTGTTCCATCTGTGCAATGGAACTGTGATGCAGGAAATGTCTGATGCTAATGCATTGCCTTCCTGTTTCCTATTTCAGTACATGGGCTGCGTGGAAGTGCTACAGTCGATGCGAGCGCTGGACTTCAACACCAGAACTCAGGTCACCAGGTGAGATTACACACTACTCCTCTGTCACTGGCAGGCCATTTTGCTCACTTAATTTCTCATCGCTGCATGTGGGGGCGAGATGGTGCGGGGAACTGTGGTCAGACAAAAAGCACCGCCCACCTCTCATATGTGTATTTGCCGCCTCTTCGGCTTCCGCTCGCTTTTGCTTGCTTGCTTGTTTCTTACTCAGTTAGTGTCTGACTGTGTGTGTGTGCACGCCTGCAGCTCTTGCATCCCCTAAATTAGAATGTTCTGGAATCCTTGTGGTTTCCGTAGTGATGTTGGTCTCCATGGAAAAGACGAGCACAGTGTAGGGATGATAAATTAAATCAGCCACTGCCAGCTCTCGCTTAATTGTCCACATAATTGTGATTCCGAGAAGGTGTAAGGATTAATGACATGTTATTGTAATTCTTGCATGTTGTGTTTCAGGGAGGCAATCTCCGTGGTGTGCGAGGCCGTTCCCGGAGCCAAAGGAGCCCAGCGCCGGAGAAAGGTACACAACATGTACACAAGCACACACCCTTACAGGGCATTATTTATTTATACGGCTTAAGTGGGTGGTGGGAATGGGTTTTCAGGATAAGAGCTGGATTTAGCTTGATTGTCCACTCTGTGGTCAGTTGGCTATTCAGTCACACACTTTCCCTTACACACACACACAAAAACAGATCTTGATTTAAGATGATTGTACTCTTCTGCGGTTAGTGGCCTGCTCGCAGGTAATTACCAATCACTCTCCGGTCTCCCTTTTCCCACCCTCTTGTCACAAGGGAGGCTGGAGAGGTGGAGTAGTATCATGTGTGGAGCCACTGTCTGGCCAGAGAAGCATTAGAGAGACGCAGATGCAGTCGAGAGTCTGCTGCGTTAAGACTCCATGTGTTCCTGTAAAACTAAACATCCACCCAAACACTCAATAAAACAGGTGGCTAAATCCAGCAGCCCGCTGTCGGAGTAGGATTTAAACAAGGAATGTCTGGCGCACCAGACAACATCTAGTTAAGGATGTAAACTAGAATAAAAGCAGTCTAGTCCCTCGGATTTGGCTGGACTGAGGTTAATGTGGCTGAGCAATGTGCATCCTGCCCTGATGCTATTTTTCTCACAGCGCACGCCAAATATTCTGAGGCAAATATGGATGAGAGCAGGAGGAGGATTGGGATGAACAGGCTGGCACAACACTGCTGGTCTTCTTCTTCTTTCGTGTAACGTCAGAGGTCCAACTCGGTGTTGTGTAGCCATGCCCGCATCTCTGGTCCTACGTCGAAGAGGCTGGCTTCCGAGGGTGGTCTATATAAAGGGCAGGTGGTTATTATATGTTCGACAGTCTGTTCGGGGTCACCGCAGACTGCTGGTCTGAGTGATGCTCTTGGCCCAGCCTTCAGTATGCTAGATGTTCATTGGACACAGTTGGCCTTGGAGACAGGATCATTTTTACAATTGCAGCTGTTCTTCCACTCCCACACACACAGGCATGTCCACACATACGCCCACAGGCTCATGCAAAGACAGTGGGGACTCAATGAACGACGTGCCATGTTGGAGTACAAAAAAAAGCCTGTTGTTTATGTTTTTGCACCTTGTTTGTTACTCATTGATGAAATCCCTGTCTTTCTCAGCCATCTTCTCGCTGTATGACATCCATCCTGGGGAAGAGTAACCTGCAATTTGCCGGCATGACAATCACCCTCACCATCTCCACCAGCAGCCTCAACCTTCTGGCCGCTGACTGCAAACAGGTTAGACTACAACCAGCTCACACTTGAAGCTGCTTTTCTGTGTATTTTTCCTTAAAAAACTCTGTTGGTGTCTGTAGAGTTGTCCCTGATCTCCAGAGATTTGACTGAGTCAGAGATGCGTCTGATAGTTAGAGCTCTGTAGCCAGAGGTGTGTTTGGTATATGGAGAGCACTAAGCCTGTGCAGTTTACTGAAGCAGAGCAAGCCTGAAGATCTCTCTGCTTGAGGTATTTCATGTGGATTTAAGGATTATAAAAACTAACTTCAAAAAGATTTTTAGAAATGAATTGTTTTTATACGATTGTAACTTTATACATTTTTAAAAAAAAATATTATATTGTTTGTCATTTAAAGTTGGCTACACTATGTAAAACGCCTGATTATTATTTATCATAATTATATATACTATTATGAACTACATACGTTTTATGATCATTTCAAAGAATGTTTTTAAAGCTTTAATAACATAATATCCGTCACTTTTACTCTGTATTTAATATAAACATCAGATTTAACTTAGCTTGAATCCCACATAAAGTCGTACTTGAATTGTTAAAAAAATATATGTTTTAGACTTTACATCAAGAAAATATCTTAATAAATATCCACTTAACTCAAGGTTATATTTGTATGTGTTGTGACCCTTTAAAGATGCCCAGGGAAGTAATAGGCTTCTTCCCTTGCCTCATTTATTTTGGATGAAGCACAAACTACTCTCAACCATCGTCTTCATTCCTGCATCGCCACGGGGCAGGAAGTGATCTTCCGCTTATGAGTTAATAACTGCTGAATGATGTTTATTTCTTTGTGGCATCAGCACAGGATAGTGCAGTGCACAAAGAAACATGCCATACACATACAACCATTCACAAATAAAGCCTCAGACATAGACCGCACATTGTGCACAGAGCATTAGCCAGTGTTGATGTCTTTATTGATCCTGAATGGGTGGTTGCTGTAGACTGTTCAAAAGGTGTTCCATGTGCTGTCCCACTTAGTTGTATCTCTGCTGCAGTTGATGCTTCTCAATGGAGGGAAAAGCACTTTTCCCAGTAATGATTCCACATTTGTCTCTCCATCCACATGCTTTCATCTCACTTCCCACATACTTCATGTCACCCACGTGCTCTCCTTCTATCTCCCTCTCTCCCCCCTCTCTCTCTCTCTTTTTCTCCACAGATAATCGCCAACCATCATATGCAGTCCATCTCCTTCGCCTCTGGAGGAGACCCAGTGAGTCACTGTCTAGCTCAGCTCAAATCTCACTCTGGCCTTTTTCCATCTTTCTTCAGCCTGCATATCCTTCCTTCCTGTCTTCTGTCATTGTCTATTCATAAGAATGCCACTCACTCCGTTGCTGCCTCGCTGGTTTGCAGTCTTTCTCTCTCAACCTTGATCTTGTTACTTCCTGTCTTTTTCTCTTTCAGCTCAATGTATGTTTTTAACCTCTGTTTTGACTTTAAGACAGCAGCTTTTGCTTGATCTCTTTATTCTTATTCTTCTGTTTAACCTTTCTATCTTAAACCTGCCCTTCACTTTTTCCTTCTGATATTTGTGTACCCTCCCTCCTAACTTTCTCACCCTGTCTCCCTCAGGATACGGCTGAGTACGTAGCATATGTGGCCAAAGACCCAGTCAACCAGAGAGGTGAGCAGAAAGGACACCTTCACTCAGGCAGCATCTGAGGCTCTTAAAAAATCATATTGAAGTCATGTTCAACTTGTTCAGTCCCTTGGTTTGAGCAGAACTCTGACCGCGATCCTTCGATACACGAGTTCCACATTTTCTATCTACATTCAGTCTCTGGATGGTGAAATATGTTTTGAAAATGCTACTACATGTACTTCTGTATAATGCTGTAAATAAATGAGAACAAGATGTTTTATGAAATTATAATGAATCCTATTAAATTAATGATATGGCTTTATTCATATTTTACCCTCTTTTGAATTTGAGAAGTCGCCCACTAGAGCTGAGACATTACAGACTCAGAGTGCAGAGTGAAGGAAGAAACAGTACATTGAACACTAAATAGGCATAGCAAATAAAAGAACTGTTTTTAATTGTTTGGCATATTCTGCTTTAGTCATGCTCTTATGCTAAATATGTGAACATGTGACTCGATTTTCAATGTAACTATCTAAAAATAAAATTCCCTGTTTCGCATTTAGCTCAGGAGCAACAGAAAAATGACATATTTAAAACTATATTATTATATTTAGAACTATTCGTGTTCTCTATGCAATTCAGTTATAACTACCTAAGTGTCATTATTCAAGACACATATAAGAATGTACTGCTGCTGAAAATGCACTGTATTCTTCTTTACTTGCAATTCCAAATATTTCTCTATCTTTGCATATTGCATGCAAGTACATGTTGCTGCAGCTTCCTTATTAGTCATGTGTGCTTCCTCTTCTCTAGCTTGTCATATCCTGGAGTGCTCAGAGGGTTTAGCCCAGGAAGTCATCAGCACCATTGGCCAGGCCTTTGAACTGCGTTTCAAACAGTACCTAAAGAACCCTCCCAAACTGGTCACACCTCACGACAGGTAAATGCAAAACATGTCCCTCACTCGGGCCCAAAACATGAGCCTGTGTTTGTATTTTGTCTCATCTTATCTGTTTTAATCACCTCTTTCTGTCTCAGAATGGCTCCGTTTGACGGCTCTGCGTGGGAGGAAGAAGATGAAGAGGCTGCTCAGCCTCCTGACGTCCCTTACTATAATAATTTCCCTGGAAAACAGCCTCCCCCTGGTGGACTGGTTGACATGAGGACCCGCCCGGGTGCCACGCTGGTGAGAAATATGCATATAAAATGGCCTTCCTTGATGACTGGATGATCATTTGGTGTGGTAGTGTTACCACTGAACAGGTCTCTCTTGAAAATGAGACCTTGTGTCTCAATGAGATTTTACACCTGTATAAATAAAGGCTAAATAAAAATAAATAAATGCAACAGATACTGCTTCAACACATCCAAACTATACTTATACTGCAGTCAATAGATGATACACCAGTTAAAAAACCTTGCTTCAAAATGTTATCAAGACGAGAAAATTAAAGACCAATAATATGAGTTGCTCTGTTTGTGCTATATAAATTGACAGTGACCCTTTGTAACCCTATTAATAGGAATATATTTGTGTATATAGACACAAGAGCGTCTTCGGTAAAAGCGCTAACAAATTAAATCTATTATTATTATTATTATTATTATTATTATTAAGAGCAAGCCCACATGTGGTTATGAGTCATTATTTGTTTTTATTCCTCTGTGTTTGCAGCCGTATGGACAGCCAGGCCAGAATGACATCCACAAGCAGCCTCTGCCGCCTCTACCAGGTGAGTCTCTGCCTGTCTCTGTAAGGCACTGGACAGATTTTCATCCAGGTACAATTATGATAGAACTCAGTCACTCGTTTTTTTACAATACTATGTCTTTCTTTATTTGTTCAATCTATAAACTTGCGACCACCATGTTGGCACAAACAGCCAATTGGACTCAATGATGAACTGATAGATATTGGTGGACAATGGTCACGGTCAATTTGACTGCACACAACATGTTGTCCCGTAACTCAACAACCCCCATGCTAATTGTAACTAAGCTATCAACTGTGCATGGCAAAGGAAGAAATGGAAAAGTTGTGCTAAGGTCGCTTACCTGTTTTTTCCTTTCCTTCTTCTAGTGGGTGCCAAAGAAGGGGGACGAGAACTGTTCGATGACCCTTCATACGTCAACGTTGACAAACCCCGTCTCCCAGTTGCAGCCAATGGAAATGCTCACAGAGATGCTTTTGACATGAGTAAGTGCTTTACTCAGTCTTGCTATTATGTGTTAGTAATATCACACCAGCTTGATAAATGAAGCTGAAATGGACTGCTGTCTAAAAACACACTGAATAAGTGCAGGGAAATTAAATAACTGAAATAAGTTATTATATGATTTCTTGTAAATTACAAATTCTGTGGGTTGAAAGCTTAATGAACAGAAATACCGGTAGCACAAATGTGCAGTTATGTTACCATGTAGAAAGAATAGGGGTTAATTATTGACTGAGGAGACGAGCAGAGTAGTGTGTGCTTTACATTCCATATGAAAGGCTAATTGAAGAGTGGAGCTGGCCGCAGAAGGCAGTCTTGGAGGAAGATAAGGGAATTAGAGTGCCTTTGTCCATTACAGGGGCATTTTATGTTACATGATTGGTTGACTGCATAAAGCTTATCACATTAGAGACACAGTCCACTATCAGAGTAGAGCATGCATCTGTCAATCCATGCGCTTCACTTGGATAAGGTCCAATCATCTTCCTTATAAAATAAATGAGGAACATGAGTCTTCCTATACATGTGCATAAACAATAAAATAATGCAATTATATGTGTATTTATTTTCTATAGAGCCATTTGACGATGCCCTGGGAGTCTCTGGACATGGTGGTCCAAACTCGGTGTCAGCGGCACCCCCTCTGGTGGAGCAGCTGCAGTGCGAGTCCTGGTTCCACGGTAGCTTGAGTCGCAGGGAGGCAGAGAGGCTTCTGACCCGCGATGGAGACTTCCTCGTGCGAGAGTCTGGAACCACGCCTGGACAGTATGTCCTCACGGGACAGCAGGGGGGTCAGCCCAAACACCTGCTACTAGTCGACCCAGAAGGAGTGGTGAGTCATGAAGGGGGGAGGAGATCATAAGGGGCGAGAGAGATTACAAAGAGGAGGAAGAAGCATGAATTGGCCATTTTGTATTCCTAACACATGGTTGTATAGGTTTGTATCTTTTTAAACGTGCCTTTAACACTTTTTTATGTCTTTTAGGTCCGCACAAAAGACCATCGGTTTGAAAGTGTGAGTCACCTGATCAGTTACCACATGGACAACAGACTCCCCATCGTATCTGCTGGTAGCGAAGTGTGTCTGCAACAGCCAGTAGAGCGCAGAGCCTAACGTTACACAAACCAATACAATACTCCACCAAATGCACACACTCCTGAAGCAATTCAACACAAGACAAAGACACCTTCATATGCTTTAAACACAGCAACACTACACTAAACACAGACGCATACATACATATACAATGATAAATATGCTCACAACACTGCAAAGAAAGCCAAAAAAATATAATTGTTCTGTAAATCACACACTTGCTGCTGTTGCTACATATTCCTTTCCTTTCTGAAAGCTGAACTATGACCTGCAGTCCCCAACTCTTTTCAGGCGCACCCCTCCAACACGGAGAAGCACCGCTGCAATTTCTCAACAGCCTACTGTGAACCAGGGAGGAGCCCTTTGTTAATTTTAAAACAGGGCAGAAAACAAAATGCATTTTTTTTTATAAGAAAAAAAATAACATGCAATTTATGAGAAAAAAATAAGAACTAATACGTGGAATCTTGTACAAAAAAAAAGGACTCAAACATGAAGAAAGGAGCATTAATGGGACATTGAATGAGATTTTCAGTGCTTGTAGCCGTGTGTTGTTTTATTCAACAAAATGATTTCCCTCCTCACACTGTCGCTGGAGCATATTTGGCAAAACAGGAACTGGATGGTAATGATTGTTTTTTCCAGAGACATAAACTCTTCACTTCAAGTGTCAATGGAGCACTTCAGCAGCAAACCTGACTTTAAAAAAGAAAAAAAGCCTGGGGATTATGCATAAACGAGTTTTTGCTTCCAACCTAATCAGAGGAGGCTGCCCCAAGCCACTCCCCTTTTAAGGACTTTTGAACTTTGACCCCTGGAGTGATACCTGGCGATGATGAAAGCCTGTATGCAAAACTGGGGGATTGCTATGCCAACGACCACGTCCTTTTTTTTGGGTAACTGTTATCTTGGGACTCATTACTTCTAGGACATTCTGAGGAGGATCTAAACAGCTGTATCTCCCTAATCCCTCTGTAAATACACACACACACACACACACACACACACACACACACACACACACCTTTAAACCACACACGGTCTGCACCACCTGTCATGCCAAAGAACATGAATTGGTTGCCAACAGCAGAGAAAGCCATGACAACTATCAGCAGTTATCTATCATGTAGGCTTACAGCATTGGGAGCAAGTTTAGATTTAATATGCATATTAAAATTGGATTTAGGGGGGAGAAGAATCTAGGTGTTGTGTTTGACTACATAATCAAAACTGAGATTTTGTAAGTTAATTGTGCATTGATGTCACCAAAAAACTCGCAATAGCAAGTATGTTAAGAGATGCATCATTTGACACTTAGTGTGTGTTTGCACTGACAATCTATGGTTTATATCTTTACGGAGGATTATGACTGAAAGCAAAGTAGTTTAAAAAAAAGAGTGCTTTAAATGTAGGCAAACATTGAACAGTCCATGCAATTACTCTCCCTCTGCAAAATGATCATTGTAACTGTTAAGGTGATTTTGTGAATCGTGATGTTGCTTTAGTTTTATTATTCTCTCAATCACTTGAGGGAATAATGTGCTTTGAAAAAAGAAAATGAGGTGGTTTGGAGGTAACTGAACAAAAAGTACATACCTGTTTTCGGAGCATTGCTAATGTCAAGCCAAATGTTGCTCCTCAGTGTGCTGCTTTCACAAACTTTGAGGATTTAGGGGGGAGAAGTTCACGCTATTTTTTTTGTCCTTCTCTATTTCTCCTTCCTCAGTTCATGATGATGATGTTGTTGTTTTTTTATATCTTTTTAATTGTGCCTTGTTTCTTCAATGCAGTCACGTCACTTCAATGCAGTCACCTTATGTACTTAATTCAAATGTAGTAGAGTCGACTACAGGAGAATCTCACACAAGCCTCTCAGTTAAACACAGTTAAACAAAGACTTTGCAAAAATGACACTCCAATAAACACTCACACACAGATCCAGTGATGGCAATCTCCTCTGATGCACATTTTTGCATTCAGCTTATAGTCACAGATACTTGATGTCATCGTGGAGGGAGGGGTCATTTCCTGACCATCTGTAAATAACATAGACTTTTGATTGGTCAGTTCAGTGTTGGATTATTGTTTTCATATCCTTAATAACTTATGTGAGAAAAAAACACAGCACTGAGGTAGCTCTTTTTGAATCCAATTGAACTTGTCAAAGAAGTCGATGCCAAACTCTTGAAACATGAGAAGGGATCTTTTAAGCTAAACCTTAACTGTCAACTAGTCGTCAGACCCTGAAGTGGGTTCATATGTAATGCACACATACACATACCTGACTGACAGCTGGCTCAATGAGACACACACACTCTGCCTGTTTAGGTTTTTGTAGGTCAGAGATGGGAAAACCAGAGCTTTAATATCTGCCATTACTGTGAGTGTGTGTTCATAAGCTGACCCACTGGACCCTCGTCATCATTAGTGAACCAGTCCCGTGTTATCTTCCTTCATCACAGATGCCTTTGTTGCATGAAAATCCTTTTTTTTAATGTGTTGTTTGTTGTTGGTGATGGTGATAGTGTTGATGATGCTGTTGTACTTTTTAATTTGTGAAAGCCAAAGGTTAATTTTGAATAGCGTGCAAAGATATTGATTTTTACTTTCTGTTTTTCAGTTTTTTAGTACTTTAAGTTTTTAGGGAAACATTTGTGTTTACACCTGTATCTGAAAATATAGATTGCATATATAAATACATATATCATTCATCTCTCTCTGTGAGTTTGTGTTAGGCCTGAGGGTGTGGCCCTTTGTTGGAAAGGCTTTATTTATAAGATAACTTCATTTATCTATAAAAGTACACCAAACAACTTGGAAAATAAACAACAAAGCAGACACTGCTGGAAGGTATGATCGCCTGTCACATACAGTACTGTCCTGAACAAAGAGTAGGGTGCAGTGGCAGTTGTACTGGAGCTACTGGAACCCTCTTGTTTGTGAACAGATGAGCCTGTAGTAGGGGGCTGATTCAGGGATTATTAGAGCGCAGGGAGAGAGTGTGGGGTCCTATACAACAGAAGGGAATAGTGCAAAGCAAAGGTAAACAAGGCCTTTAATCAATCAGCGGATGTTTGAAAGCAGAGAACAGTCGCGAAAAAGCAGGATGGAGGCAGCCTGCAGCTTGTATAGGAGGTTATAAGTAGAGGGGCTAACTGTGGCAGGAATACGAAGCAGACCTCAGCTGTTGCACTGGCACAGTCTGATTCAACTTGTCAGACATCACCTCCTATTTCTTCTCGTCGGCTGGCCTCTTTGATGCCTCTGCTTCGTTTTCTCTCCGGAGCCATGCATCCCCAGCGTCCTCTTCCTCAGGCCATGCCCTCCTCCTCTCTGGGACAGAATCTGCGGGACATGGCCATGGGTCTGGGAAGAGGCAAGAACTTATTGGGAGGAAACGTCACCTACGGTTTTATCCAGTCGGTTAAGGAGTGCCTTTATTTTCTGCTCTGCTGCTGGTGCATCAAAGAGATCCTGGACTAAGAGATCCAGTGGTTGAACATTGATTTTCACTTTTTTCCGACGGCTCCTTGAGTGTTATTTCAACCAACTTCTATTTAATTGAGAATGGAGTGTTTGATCAGCAGTTCTGGCAAAGCATTGGCAAGTATGAGTTTTGTCTCATATGACAACAAACTACTTGAGTCTAATTTGATTATATTGCAATTTATGTTACTGTTAGAGTGAAGATCTCAATTTTAGAAAGCAGCCATTTCTATGGGGAATAGTTTGTGTTGAAAAAATGTTTATTTCTGTTTTTCAGTGGTTGTAGGATGCTCTTCTTGGGTTCCAGGAAACACACGTGCACTTTTTCAGAAGCTTCAAATGCTCACTGAGAGACTGGGTCAGAGTTTCCTGAGTTCAACCCTGCTGATCTGACTACTTGAGGAATGGCAGCCCTGGTGTTCACTGTACAACACAAACTGGTGTGCAATGAATAAAAGAACTGATGAATAGAAAAAAGATAACCGTTATGTCTGCATGTTTTTTCATTTTGTTTTGGTTAATATTTTAGTTTACTTGTACAGCTGAATAATATATATATATATATATATATAGAAATATTCATTAGGTGTCCAACTTTAATGTGACTTAGACATAGTTTGCACAATAGTGTCTTTATTGAGGTCCAATTAATGAATTATGTATTGAACAAAAACATGAGACATTTTACAAGTTGCCTTTAAGGATATTGTAACCAATAACCTGAATCGACCCAAGCCTATGGACTACCGGCATCAAATGCCTTGGACTGATGGACTTCACGCATATAAGATGATGTATGTTTTACATACCCTCCGTCACCTGTGTGTGTCAATCAACCTGGAACATTTCCCAGTGAAGCACATTGACGCCGCATGCCATTGGTCGAGTACGAGGAAGCGGGGCGGGTCCAGAGGCAAAGCTGTCTGCGATTGGACGAGAAGGGCAATCTTTCAAGTTCATGAGGCACTTTCTAAGTTCGCAGGTTGGATGGGAAGACTCAGAAGTGTCTGCCGCTGTATCTGTGACAGACTGTGGGAACTGAAGTAAATCGACGAACCACGGTAAGAATAAACCTACATTTTGACGTTACCTACAAGTGTTTAAATTCCAAAGCAACAGCGTCTGTTTTTTGTTCTTCTATTGCGTCGACAACGTAGTTTTACTCACTTTTTCCTGGTAGCTCGGTTGACACTTAAAGTGGAAAGTTGTGTAATGTAATCTAATTGATTTGCTTTTTAAATGTAAGTGCTTAAGCCTGCTCACACTAGTCTTCAATGTGTTTTTTTTCAGAAGTAATATTTTTGAGTTTATCTCGGTTATAAGTTTTATTTTTCTTTGTGCTCATATGACATTTCCTGTCACAGGCATCACACCCCTTTTCTAAAGCTGTCTCAATAACTAAAAGATACATTATTATTATTCTATGATGCTGTGTGTGAACTGCTGTAAACATGCTGGCCATGGTGCTTTTACTGACAGCCTAACATTGTTTTCATTATGGCCTGTCCTCTGGTTTATTCTTTTGACCTTTTTTGGTAATTTCCCCTGCTGAGACCAAGATGGTGAGATTTGGCCTACAGCTGTTAACATTCATTTGGCTGTGTTTTGCTCAAGAACAAAAAAGGCTACATTTAAACTAATAGCAGATCACTGTTTGACATGATATTAATAAATTGAGATCAGGCAGGCTGTCAAGTAGCCTATCTTTAAATATGACTGCTATGAAAATGTGATGTAACCCAGCCTCTTAGAAGCTTAACAGGTTATATTTGTGAGTAAAAACCGAGTACAGGACAGAGAAAAGTACATTTTCCTCTGTTAAAAGCATTAGATTTGTGGTGCAGTTAAAATAATTATTGTAACTCTGTCCTTAGAATACATTTATGTCTCTATGTTGTTCCTTATGGCCATTTTCTACATGCTCTGTCTTCACTCACTCTAGCTATATTTAGCCAGTATCTATTTAAGCCATTCCACTATATGCCTCACAATGCTCCGAGGACCCTAGGCTAGATTCAGTAGACTTCTCTTGGGAGACACTCGATTAGAAGACCTAAATTGCGGAGCTGGGAGAGAATTGAATTTGGGGAGTGAAGTGTGTCATCATTACCCAGACAATGTTGTGTTAATGTAAGCGGTTAGCTTTCAGTGACAAAAGCCAGACTACCCATGATAAATATGTATTTCTGTTATGTTCTCCTCTGCTGTTTTGAGAGGAAAGGGCTTCATACAGCTGTAAAACCTGACACTTGTATCTGAACAGGAGGTGAAATTGAAATGTCAGTCTGTTTCCGCTTGAGTGATCTGGATCCTGGAAGGTGTTTTGTTAGTCAGAAACATAACTGTTGACAGAGATTCAGGGAAACAGCACTGTATGTTTATCTTACAGTACATTGTGAAGCCAAATTCCACATAGGAAAAGGTATATCCATTATACAGTGGAAATGTACCGGTTTGTAGACAGACCAGTAACTTTCAAATGGAAACTCTCATTCTTCTGTCTGTATCTTAAGAATGGTGCCAGCCTTAGTTACCCCTGTCCCGTGCCAAAACATTTCCCAGCTAGTCAAAAGCTAGGGTGACCAAAAGGCCCACAACACACACAAACTACTAATGAAGGACTCAATGGTTTCAGGGAACTGGACTTCCTGCACACTTAAACACATGTCCTCTCTCACACACACACACACACACACACACACACACACACACACACACACACACACGGGGTAATATGTTACAGTAGCTCCTTTATTGTCAGAATGGGTGGGGCTGAATAGCAAAGCCATTTATTCAAATCCAGAGCATAGGTAAACAGAATATGTAAATATTTTAGCTGCAGTACTCACACTGTCAGCATAATTGTGGCCTAGTGTCAATCTTCTGAGTAATGCACCTGCTCAATGGGGTTGTTGGCTGTCGCTACAGTAACAAGTGCATTTTTTAATTGCCGTTATAAATAAATGTAGGATTAGCATCGTTTTAGAATCACACAACCAGCTTGATGTATAGACACAACACACAAATGAGTACATGTTTCATTTGTCTTATTCTCAGTGAACTTCTGTAATCTGTTTTGTTTGTTCCTCTTGTGTTGCAGGAGACAGGCACAGCCTCTAGGGGGCCATGTCTGGCGTCAGCAGTGCTAACAACAGCTGGACCATCCTCACTCCTGAGGTATCACCACTCTGTTAAGAGCTTAGGAAGTCACTGTGCATGACCTCATTGAAAAATCATTATTTTTTTGAAAAAAGTTCCTTGTCCTAATTTATTTTCTTTTGGGTCACCTTGATATTAAGTAGATATTGTAAGAAGACGTCAGGAGTGCAAACTGCCTTGAAAGAAAAACGTAACTTCTAAATAATTATTTGTTTATTAATTACTTACCCTGTGTTACATTGAGTTCTTGAGTAGAGATATTTTTCATGCATTGAAGTAAATGGCGCTGAGTGTAAAACCCAGGAAAACTAACAGTTTAGTCTCTCTAACAACAACTAGCTTTACTTATTAAAACACATCCAGGTAAACAATCTCACGCCTATGCAGGTGGGCTACTTGTCCTTCTGAGTCCATAGTATTTTAAATGGCTAGGTATTAGCAGAAACGCATGTGAAGAAGGGAGCATTTCATAAAACTGGATAAATGAGGCTTGGATCATACTGCATGTTTTGTGAATTTATTTTGTTCAATTTTCTGTTTATATCGCAGTCCCCCATTTACTTCATTTCATTGGGACTGATTTATTTATCATAAAAGGATGCTCAAAATGTTTTCTTTAAGAAAAGTGTGGGTGGAGTGTTTCTAGAGGCACTGGCCTGAGGGCTACACACACACACACACACACACACACACACACACACGTATGGTAATAATGTTTGTTTCCTGTTGACTGTTTGCTTGTCCTAGGAGACTGTAGCTGAAACCCTGAGGCCTTTAGCGGAGGAGGGGACGGAGCACCATGAAGGAAGCCTCACATCTGCAGCAGGTGATTGTCACAATACTTTTCAGGATAGTGAGATTGTGTTTGACACAGGAAATATATCTCACACAAAAACTTGTTATGATATCTAGTCTATCACTTGCTTTGCCCATGGAAATTATTTGGTAATAAATAGAACAACAAAACCGGAACAATTTCAAATAATGGTGTACGTTACCTCAGTACATCATTTTGTGTTATCCACACACTTATCCCAAGTAAGATATGCTAACATTTCAAATAGTCCTGTTTTAAATATATTTAATAACTGTCTTCCTTCCTGCATTGTTTCTGTGTTAGATGAAGCAGGTCCTGGGGAGAGCCGGCCTGCGGAGGGTGCAGAGGAGGCAGGGTCAGCGGAGGAGCTCCCTGAGGAGCGCCACCACCTGGTGAGCCAGCAGTACACGTCATTTTCTATTATGTTTTTGTTAATCAGCTCAAAAACAACAGTACAAGTATTTGAGTTTAAAAATGTAAAGCATGTGCACAAAATGCAGAAATGCACCACCATGTCACTTTAACCTATTTCTTGTATATGTTTTAATTCAAAGCAATATCTCAAAGTTTTGTAAACTACACTTATGGACTGTCTGTCAGAGAGTTAGATAGACACTCCAAACTAATTTAATTTCTGTCCATGATGATACGGCTACAGCCAACAGCCGGCTAGCTTAGCTTAGTACAAAGACTGGAAACAGTTGGCTCAGTTTGAAGGTAGCAATATCCTCCTGGACCATTTTGGACCATTTTGGACTATTTATTGGCCAGTTAATTTCCTGAAGGTTGCTTAGCAACTGGTTCTAGCCCAAAAATTGTCCAGCACATATCCCATTGTAAAACAGTAAGATTGTTATTTGTACCTATATTGATTATTTTACACATTTTTTCCCCTAGGTATTAAACTAAATATAAAGAACAAATAACAGTTTTCAGTCCATGAGCTAAACTACGCCAACGTGCTTTATATTTACCATACTGCTCAACATGTCTTGTGCTATTGAATTAGTCACATAGCTTGAGTTCAAACCTCACAAGGTTATACCTTAAGGAGTTGTAATGACCTGATTCTTGTCCCAGCTATCAGAAGACAAAGCAGCAGAGCTAAGTGAAGACACGGGAACAGAGCAGCAGCCCCCCGTGCCCGCCGTCATCACTGAAGCCCCCCCTCTCAGCTCTCTGGAAGTCTCCGACAGCCTTGTTCCTGGCAGTGATGAACTCAGCCAATCAGAGGGCCTCCCAGAGGGCCCGGCAGGGGCCTGCCCTGACCCGGACTCTTTTTCTGACTCCTACACCCACATAACGCCCTCCCCTGATGAGCCCCCAGCCTCCCTGCTCAGCACAGAGACTCTGGGAGGGGGGGAGTTAATAGAGGAAGTGGAGAGGCTCGTACAAGAAGAAACGCTGCACTCGAACTTGAACGGGAAGGAGCTACAATATGAAGGGGAGGAGTCTGACCTCTTCCCAAGAACAGCTGACTTAGGGAAACAGGCAGGTATGATCAACACAACTTTAGTCATGTCATTATTAGAAAAAAGGGACAGTGATACTTGTCACCAGATTGTTTTGGCGTGAGTTACTCAGTGTTGGAGATATCTGTCGTATAACAGAACTAGATAGCACTAAGCTTGCGGTGCTCAGAGCAGCAAATAAAACACATTTGACACACTTAACATAAACAGGCTTGTGCTAACTGGTTGGATTATTTTTAGTTTGGTGGAAAGACAATAGATCCTACGTGAAACTGCTCACAACAAGGTCTGTTGATTATCTTGAGTAACCCTGTTATGTTACGAGTGCCATCTATTCCCATAATATTAAAGAGAAGGCAGACATTTTTACTGGTATCCCCAACCCTCAGCATCTCACACCAAAACAATCTAGATTGATAAATAGCACTGCAGGTTAGAGGAACATGTATTTGTGATTGTTGGCTCTCTGTTCTACACTGAACAAAAATATAAATGCAACACTTTTGTTTTTGCTCCCATTTTTCATGAGATGAACTCAAAGATCTAAAACATTTTCTATATACACAAAATAACCATTTCTCTCAAATATTGTTCACAAATCTGAAAAAATCTGTGATAGTGAGCACTTCTCCTTTGCCGAGATAATCCATCCCACCTCACAGGTGTGGCATATCAAGATGCTGATTAGACAGCATGATTATTGCACAGGTGTGCCTTAGGCTGGCCACAATAAAAGGCCACTCTGAAATGTTCAGTTTTATCACACAGCACAATGCCACAGATGTCGCAAGTTTTGAGGGAGCGTGCAATTGGCATGCTGACAGCAGGAATGTCCACCAGAGCTGTTGCCCGTGAATTGAATGTTCATTTCTCTACCATAAGCCGTCTCCAAAGGCGTTTCAGAGAATTTGGCAGTACATCCAACCGGCCTCACAACCGCAGACCACGTGTAACCACACCAGCCCAGGACCTCCACATCCAGCATGTTCACCTCCAAGATCGTCTGAGACCAGCCACTCGGACAGCTGCTGCAACAATCGGTTTGCATAACCAAAGAATTTCTGCACAAACTGTCAGAAACCGTCTCAGGGAAGCTCATCTGCATGCTCGTCGTCCTCATCGGGGTCTCGACCTGACTCTGGTTCGTCGTCGTAACCGACTTGAGTGGGCAAATGCTCACATTCGATGGCGTCTGGCACGTTGGAGAGGTGTTCTCTTCACAGATGAATCCCGGTTTTCACTGTTCAGGGCAGATGGCAGACAGCGTGTGTGGCGTCGTGTGGGTGAGCGGTTTTCTGATGTCAATGTTGTGAATCGAGTGGCCCATGGTGGTGGTGGGGTTATGGTATGGGCAGGCGTATGTTATGGACGACGAACACAGGTGCATTTTATTGATGGCATTGTGAATGCACAGAGATACCGTGACGAGATCCTGAGGCCCATTGTTGTGCCATTCATCCACGACCATCACCTCATGTTGCAGCATGATAATGCACGGCCCCATGTTGAAAGGATCTGTACACAATTCCTGGAGGCTGAAAACATCCCAGTTCTTGCATGGCCAGCATAATCACCGGACATGTCACCCATTGAGCATGTTTGGGATTCTCTGGATCGGCGTATACGACAGCTGTGTTCCAGTTCCTAGCCAATATCCAGCAACTTCGGCACAGCCATTGAAGAGGAGTGGACCAACATTCCACAGGCCACAATCAACAACCTGATCAACTCTATGCGAAGGAGATGTGTTGCACTGCGTGAGGCAAATGGTGGTCACACCAGATACTGACTGGTTTTCGGACCCCCCCAGGACCCCCCAATAAAGCAAAACTGAACATTTCAGAGTGGCCTTTTATTGTGGCCAGCCTAAGGCACACCTGTGCAATAATCATGCTGTCTAATCAGCATCTTGATATGCCACACCTGTGAGGTGGGATGGATTATCTCGGCAAAGGAGAAGTGCTCACTATCACAGATTGTTTCAGATTTGTGAACAATATTTGAGAGAAATGGTTATTTTGTGTATATAGAAAATGTTTTAGATCTTTGAGTTCATCTCATGAAAAATGGGAGCAAAAAAAAAAGCGTTTCATTTATATTTTTGTTCAGTGTATATCCTCAGCCTCTTTATCCTATGTATGTTCTTCTATAAAGATGATCACCTGGTATGCCTGTATCCTTTTTATTTTTTGGACACTAAGCCGGATGTACTATTTGTGTTTGAAGTGTACTTGGTGGACCAGCTGGTTTTGGAATTGTTCAGTATCTGGGCCAGGAGGTTGTCTGCAGAGGCGTTGGTTGGTACGAGGCAGCATGATGTGACAGAGGCTGCATGACACCCTGCAGAAGTTAATTGGCTTCAGAGGGACTGGGACCTCTAACGTTTTTTGCAGTGTGGCGTTTTTGCTCTGCAGCTATTTTTCTCGCTACGACATTAAAAAATGAGCCTTCTTTTGCTCTGTTGTGCATTTCTGTTGTACTCTTTTTGTTTACCAACTAGAGCTCAGCGTCAGGGAGTTATTTACAGAGCCCTTTAATGATCCCATTGCTCTTTTTACAACAAATTGTGATGGCAGTAGTTTGGAAAGTTTCCCTACCAGAAGTTCCTAAATGAACCATTTGAATTAGTTTCTGGGCCATTTATTCAACATTGAAGTCTTATTTATGCAAATTAAAGGAAAATGAGGAAAGCAATGCAGTGAATTAACCAGCGTTCCATGCACAGCAGAGCCAATAAAGAAGCGGGTCTTATCTCCCAGCTGGAGTAAACTGCAGCTTTTTACAGCTGTTAAAGCTAAAGCTGCTGTGCTATCTAACATCAATTTTGTAATTTCAACAGTTTAGAAAAAACAAACATGGCAGGACATTTAATTGTCTCAGACACATTCACATTACATTATCAGCTGTTTTAAACAATTGGGACTCGGGGTAACCATGGCTGCACAATTCATCTAAATAGCAATATACAATAGTGCAATGTTCAAACTGCAGTCAGTGCTATATTGTGTAAAGGTGATCTTCTTTAAAAGTCTCACCATGATCATTTTACAATCCAAGACAATGTGGTTAATGTTTCAAAAAGTGTCATTCTCTCTAATCTCGCGATCATATTTCAATTACAGTTGAAATAATCGCTATTTTTTTTGCAGCTCAAGTACTCATAGAATACATTAAACCTCTGCAAGGTACAGCAGCCTCTCATTCTCTCCCTCTCCACTTCCCAGACTCCCCCGGGGATTCAGAGGTGGGTAAGGAGAGAACTGAGAAGACGGGTGAGGAGCCAGAGCCGGAGGTGAGGAGGAGGAGGTCTCTCTTGGCAGCTCTGGAGCGCATTGGAAGGGCGGAGGAAGAAGAGGAAGAGTTTCAGCTGCCACGGCAGGACGATGACAGTGGGTTCTCTGTGAACAAGTGCATCCTGGGTGCTCTCATTCTGCTGGGCCTTGGCACCATCTTTTTATCAGGTAGGATTCCCCTAATGAACATTTGCAAAGTTGAACATCTGTGTTGAACTTTGGATAAGTGAAGTTAGTCTGAGGAATATTTCCTAAGTTACTGCATTAGTAGACAAAGGGTGCTCTGAGACTGAGGTGTATTGTACCTGCAGGTGTCTTCATGGACCTGGATGAGGGTAGGTTATGTGTGAACATGTTTGTGTGTCTGAATGTGCATGCAGAACGTTTTTTTGTTTTACATCTAAAAACCTTTTTTAAAGCAACTTTCAAGAGCACTGCATGCAGACGTGTGTGAGCGCAAGAGAGAATGATTTTCCTTGAGTCTTGATGATATGTAACACAATCCTTATCCGCCATCACCAGACATTTAAACCAATGACTATGAGTATGGACATCATATCGTTTGAAGTGCAATGCCCATTTTGTAGGTTTTTGTTCGCTGTTCAGCATGATCACTGTAAAACGTTTTGGGAAAATAGTGTAGAAGGAAAAAGTCTAAACAGACAAGTTGCACATTGTTGTTATTTTAATATTGTTTGGGAAGGTGGCATTTTCCATCATATGCACAGCTTTTGCTTGTTTTCTTTGACAGTGTGTTCATTCACACGAACATTAAGCTTTGCATAATTCATTTGCAGAGAGTGACTATGGCACAATGGAGCTGAAAGATGCAGAAGTACCCGGAAAACAGGTCAGTCTGACGCCGTATACTGTATATTCAGTCTGTGTATTCTCTCTTTATTATAAATACCATTTGTGTCCCTAGTTTACAGTACAATAAATCCAGGCTGAAGACTTTTCTTTTTGTCGCTACTTTTAATTGAACTATTCATATCTTAGACTGCACTGAAACTTTTATCCATGTATTTTTTCTTTTAATGTTTCTTTTATTAGCTTTTCTTTTTAATGACTGATTTTAAATGCCATTTTCTTAATGTCTTTCATTTTTTGTAAAGCACTTTGAATTGCCTTGTGTTGAAAAGTGCTATATAAATAAACTTGCCTTGCCTTGCCTTACAATGAGTACTACCCTCATGCATCTTTAGTGTGACCACTCGCAACATTACTCCTACTTTGTACCAACTGTACAACTCTGCACTCATGTTCCCTCACTGCTCCACTAGTCTGTCTGGCCATCTTGAATCTGACATGTCTAAAATCGTTGTGCCGTGTGTCTTTTGTTGACAGGAGTGGCTTAATCCAGAGGTTCCTCCACTCCCAGTTGCTGCTGACAGCACAGAGCTTCTAAATAAATTGGACGAAGGGAACCAACAGATTTCTGTGCTACAAGCCCAACTTCAGGTGTGACTCCATTCTGTCTCTTACCTCATTTTTCTGTGTGTGTGTGTGTGGTGTGTGTGTGTGTGTGTGTGTGTGTGTGTGTGTGTGTGTGTGTGTGTGTGTGTGTGTGTGTGTGTGTGTGTGTGTGTGTGTGTGTGTGTGTGTGTGTGTGTGTGTGTGTGTGTGTGTGTGTGTGTGTGTGTGTGTGTGTGTGTGTGTGTGTGTGTGTGTGTGTGTGTGTGTGTGTGTGTGTGTGTGTGTGTGTGTGTGTGTGTGTGTGTGTGTGTGTGTGTGTGTGTGTGTGTGTGTGTGTGTGTGTGTGCTGTGTGTGTGTGTGTGTGTGTGTGTGTGTGTGTGTGTGTGTGTGTGTGTGTGTGTGTGTGTGTGTGTGTGTGTGTGTGTGTGTGTGTGTGTGTGTGTGTGTGTGTGTGGCTTATACATGCCACTGAGTTTGTAATATTCTCACAGGACCCTCTTTTCCCATTCTTTTTTCTCTCTTTCTAACAGGCACAGGGAGAAGAGCTAAAAGTAGCCAAGGGACAAGCAGCAGAGGGAGCAAAGGAGCGGCTGCGCAGAGAGGAGGCGGAGGAGGAAAACAGTAGGTTGAAGAAAGAGATGGCATCTCTCCCTGTGCTTTCAGAAAGAGAACGAGAGGATGAAGAGAGAGCTGGAGTCTGGCCCTGCCCTACAGAAAGAGCTAGAAACTCTGAGATCCACTGTGACTGAATTAAAACTCCCCACAGGTACAAGGATGATAGTGATCAGACAGCTAGGGAAAGTGCAGTATGGTTCTTCCCCTTCTTTTTTTCTGTTAATTCAATTGTCATATCTCATCTTTCTCAAGTGACTTTTTGTTTTCCTTTCTGCAGCAGCTCCTGTGACGCTCACCACACCGCCCTCTAGTGACAGCACACAGGAAGCAGCTGGATCCACAGAGAGAAAGCCCACAAAGCCTTGGGAGGACCAGAAGGAGACGAAGAAAGATGTGAAGAAGGATACAAATGAGATGGGCGAGAAGAAGGAGTGGAAAGAGAAATCTGAATGGAAGGAAGGGAAGAAGGAGCTCAAAGATGGGGGTAAAGCAGAAGGGAAGAATGAGCTCAAAGATGGGGGTAAAGCAGAAGGGAAGAAGGAGCTCAAAGATGGGGGTAAAGCAGAAGGGAAGAAGGAGCTCAAAGATGGGGGTAAAGCAGAAGGGAAGAATGAGCTCAAAGATGGGGGTAAAGCAGAAGGGAAGAAGGAGCTCAAAGATGGGGGTAAAGCAGAAGGGAAGAAGGGAAAACACGAGCAAGGGAAGTTTGAAAGTGAGAAAGATAAGGAAGGTAAGCTGAAGAAAGCCAGTGATGAGACAAAACAATGGAAGGAGAAAGACTTGAAGAAAGAAAAGTCTGGCAGAGGGGATGAAGGGAAACCATGGAAGGATAAGGCGGAGAAGAAAGAGTGGAAAGGAAAGAGTGAGGGGAAAGACTGGAACAAAGGAAAGCATGAGAAAGTGAAGGAGGGTAAACAGTGGAGCGGGAAGGAAGAGAAGAAGGATTGGAAGGTAGGAAAAGACAGAGGAGAGAAGAACAAGGGCAAGGAGGAATGGAAGAAGGGAGGGAAAGATGGCTTCAAGGAAAGTGGCAAAGGGAAATGGGGAAAAGAAGATCGGGGAGAGAAGAAAGAGTGGGTGAAGAAGGAAAGTGACTGGAGAGGAAAGAACAGCAAAGGAAAGGGTGAAAATAAAGAGTGGGAGGAGAGGAAACATCCAGAGAGGAAGGGGAAGGAGGAGAAGGAGTGGAAGAGGAAAGATGAGAAGAAACAGTGGGAAAAGAAGGAAGAGCCGTGGAAGAGAGAAGGGGAGAAAGACAGGAAACACAATGGAGATCGGAAAAAGGACGCATCAAGCTCCCAGAAACACAAATCTAACGGTCACAAAAACCACAAGGAAGAGCCTCTGTGGGTGGACAGGAAGCCCCCTCCCACTCACAGCAGACCCTCCCTGGATCAGCCCGAGTACTGGGAGCAGCAGAGAGACCGCCTCCAGCAGAACCCCAAAGCCACGCAGCAGTGTAGCTCAGTGGAGACCTGCGCCCAGGCGGAGGGGCTGCTGCCCGTCCCCCTGCTCCAGTTCGAGGCCATCCTCCAAACCTACCTGTCCAGAGCTGAGGAGGCCGGGGTGGCTGCCTCCAAAACAGACGAACTCAGAAAGCTAGCCGCCAAATTCTTCAAGGAGGGATTCTTCGTCCACGAGCAGACGAGCTTCACGGAGTTCGTGGAGGATTTGGAAGATATCTTGGAAGACATGGTGGAAGGAGATGAGGACGCAGAGGAAGAGCACAGTGACCTAGAGGACAGTGACCTAGAGGACGAAATGGAGGAGTTCGTAAAAGAAGTCATAAAGAAGTTTGCAGCGCCCGTGGTGGCTGTGGAGAAAGAGGGGAGGGCCATAGGGGAGGGGAGGAAGGAGAGAGGACGCGGCTGATGATGGGATGGATGGATCTGTCGAAAGTAGCTTAAGAGCAGTCATGACGGATGAGAGGGTATTCAAAGGGAACATTTGATATTGGACCACAAACGCTTACCAGTATACATTTATCATCCTGTCAGCGTTTTAACAGGACCTTATTTTACCCTTCTGTTGTCCGAGAAGTTCAACTTATTATTCAATTGCACTGTTTTGGGACGTTTTGTATTTGACCTACACACACACACACATTAGTCCCAGTCGCAGAAAGAGAGTGCATTTACTTAATGTTTTGGGATGGACTTGGATAGAAGACAAGAGGCTACAGAAACAAGTGTAATGCAAACATGATATAGCCTTCTCGTGCTCTTTCTTCAAAAACTCACATCTCTTTTATTTGTGGCTGCAGCTAATGTTGAATATCCGTTGGTGTGAAAGTTATTTCTACTCCTTCACTTTGCATAGGGGAAATCAAACCTGTTGGATTAGCGTTGATACTGCTCCTCATTGACAGCTGCTGTATAGTCTTATCACACAACACACCTCTGCACTGATGTCCTGTTCACTGAACCTACATGCCCTCTTTGTTTGTATTGCTTTAGCTTTGCACTTAATATTAGATGATATTCAAACCATCGGTTTTTAGAAAGGGTGAACTGCTGAAAACTGTTTAGTGAATATTTAATGTGAACGTAGAGAAGTCTGTATTGATTTAGTTTTGAATGTTTGTACATATTGCATTAAATGTGTTTAAGGACTATGCAGAATTACATAGTTAACTTATTTATAGAGTTTGGCATAATTTAGATACAAATATCTTTGGTTGGCACATAAGATATCAACATGTTGAGCTTGTTTTGTTTCAGGTACTGAGCTTATGTCGTGCACTAAGGTTCCTTAATTATTGTTTTATCGGGAATTTAGCTTTTCTTGATGAGGTTGGTTGTAGCGCTGAGGTCGTGGGGCATAGTTTCCCAAAAACGCATTTAGTACTTGCTATCTGTTTACACGCTAACTTATTACATGTTGCTAAATTAAAGGTCTAAAGCCACATGGAGATCTTCAGAGGGTGTTTGCAGAACCACATGCTGAGAACTTTGTGGCAGCATCGAGAACTTTGTATGTTAGGATGTTTTCTATTTGGCCCTGTTACTGTTGCAAGAGCAGAATAATAAATGTGGCGCATCGCTGGGATTAAATAACTCTGTTTTGTCATTTTTTTTCTCACTCACTTGTTGAAGGTTTACATCTGTGCTTTTCATTACCCACATTGATTTCAGCTCCTCGTCAGAATTAGATGTCCAAGTCCTTGAGATTCTGCACATTTGGAAAGAAGGTGAGGTTTTGTTGGTAATTCATAATAACTAAATTGTTGTTTGACCAGTTGTCCCACCTATTTCTTTTGAAATCCAGTGGGATCTGTGAAAAGCTGTTTGCTGACAGATCAATGAAACATGACTGATATATTATTGTTCCTTTGCAGATGAATCACCTCCTTTCTCCTTGGTTTGCCTTTCCCAGGCTGACGGTAACTTCTCCTCGGGGGAAACTTTTTTGGCAGTTTCTTCCTTTTTATATTCCCTGTATCCAGATGGGTGGAGTGGTATTACTGGCCCGGGGTAGTAGAGGAAAACAAGAATGAAAATCGAGACAGTAAGATTGAGTATGATGACTCCATGTCATTCAGTCACATATTGTCAGTCAAGCATGGTGCCTTTTTGAGACTATAAACTGGAAAAAGGCCTGGTTAAAATACTATACTTTTTAATAAATACTATTGATATGTTGTAGATACATAACTAATATAGCAGGGAATTAGCAGTGGTTCTCTGCATGTGAAGTACTGATATAACAATGTGAGCAGCTGTTCCTCATAACGTCTTCAAACTGCTTTACTGTAGCTTCAGCGGTTATGTCACACACTCACAAAAACACTCAATTAAACTGCTGTCTTTTCAACTAAATGCTAACTCCCATGCAGATTTACATTCCCTAATGCTCACCTCTCTAACGGATAACCAAGTAAAAAAGCCTGTGAAAAGAGACACTTAAATAAACCCTTAAGTGCTGCTAATTTATATATAACTTTAAGGTCATCTGAGCTTCCCACACTTTTTTATTTGCATGAAACTTAAAGCAGAAAACAAATGCATCTCTTCTGAGGACCTACTGCTGGAGCAGTGAGGAATTCAAAAAGTATGGATTATTTTTGAAATATTGACCAACAAGTCCTTAAATACAAATATAGAAATCATTAGTCAAGTGCCTGTGGAAAACCCTGATGCTTTTATAGGACTCCAGTATGCGATTGCTTCGTCCTCTCTGCAAGTCATTTACTATATGAGAGCAGCTGCACTCCTCAAAGAGGGCTGAGGGAATGGAAGAGAAGAACGGAGGACTGCTGTTTCAGGTGTAAGAGGATGTGTGTGTGTGCTCGTGTGTGTCTTGCAACTGAGACGGGAAATGTGGATGATAAAGCCAGTGTGCTTGTCAGCACTAACTGCCTCCCTAATATGCCAATTGTGCACATCCTGTCAGAGCTTTGGCTAAAATGATACCATTCCTCTGAAGTGAAACCCAAGTGCCCAATTCTCAAAAGTTTTTCGCAGCACAGTGTAATTATTTCTGATGTACTGCTTTCTTTTGGGCTATCTGCAGATTCTTTCCCAGAGTTTCACACCCTTACAAAGCTTAGGAAAAATGTGAGACTATGTTCTGCACATTGGCATAAAGTGAGTAAACATTAAACTATTTGTGGTATGCTAAACGTGTCCTTACTCTGATTGTTAGTCCTTCCTGAAGGAGGTGATTCATACAGCAACACATATCTTGCTCTTGACTAGATATACGCATGGGGTTGAATCTGAAAATTCTACTCCTGGAAAAAGGTCAGCAGTGTTTTGGAAACATGGTTTACATTTTAGTAGTTGTCTAGAAAAGACCCTTGTGTCCTCACAACTTACCCACACAAATACCTGAGTTTATGAGCTTCTCATTTGTGTTTCCAGTTTCTGATCCATCCCAATTTAGGCTTAATCCACATCATAAATGAACTGTATTATAGAATAGAATTTTACAATAATCAACCATATTTCCTTTCCTTAAATAAAGGCCCGAAGATTAGACCGGACCTTCTCTTGGCTTGTGATGCAGTCCCAGTTCAAGGCGTATCGGTGTTCCTCTGACACTGTGAGCAGAGATGAAACTGGTAAGATCTGAGCTATTCCTAACTTTACCAAGCTAAGGCTTTCTGTTTAACAACGGCACTGCAGTGATGCACCAGTGGAGTGTAATTTTGGCTGTACAAATGTGCATTATACAAGCCTGAAAATGACACTTTTCTATTCTTCTTGAGTAACATTTGCCAAAAGCTGAAGTGTTTTAGGGAATCAATCCATCTTTTTAAGAGTATGAGGATGTATTAGGGGTTGGATATCCAAAGAAGGAACACATATGTTTGTGGCTGAGAGTCAGAAAGAGCATGTTGCTGGCCTTATCTGTAGATGTTTGATCAGCTGCAATCGTCTTCCTGCTCTAAAGAAAAGAGCATTTTAAAGTTAAACTGATAAAAAAATATAAAAGATGTTCTAAGTTTGCTCTGACTCTCTTTGTTTGCCATGTCAAACATAACTCCTCACAAGGGCTGATTCATATTGAAATGGTTATCTGGATACCACATTGGCCCTTTTTGCTGTGACCATATAATTAACTGTTAGTCATACTTGTGTTCAAAAGGCCATTTTTGTTCTTCTCCATAAAAATACATGTGGTCTCACTCTACTTCTGAGTGGAACAACAGTACTTCAAATGAATATTTAGCTATTTTCACTCCTTCCTGGTATCTAGAGTAGAGTATATATCATGTTGTAACAGGATATTAGAACATTTTCACTGCACACTAACAATGAGTATTTTATGGAAGAAAGAGTTGGCAACCTTCGGAGAATTCAGTTTCTTTCTAGCCTTGTGTCTTGTGGTTGTGTTGTCATATTTAACCATTGCATAAAGTAGCAGCTTCTGAGGCCAAACACAAACTACTGGGCAGCCCTTTGTGGAAAATTCCATGTGGAAAACTCCATGCGATGGGAGCCATCGCATGGAGTGTTGAAATATTCCCTTTGGTCACTAGATGGTGATAGAGCTTCAGATCCTAGTGCCAAACCACTTCTGCTGACGAAGCATGAATTATATAACTGCTGTATGTGCCAGTGGTGTCAGCTTTACCTCTGTCTCATCGCCCCACACACACACAACCAATAATATCTCAGTCCACTCTAGTTCTAACTACTACTTTTTTTGTTGTATTTGATGTGGTGTCTTTCTGTTTTCCTGCAGAATGCTGCTGAGCCCAGTGCCACTGACCAGTTCATTGGACAAGAACAATGATGGAGAGCTCAACTTCAAGGAGTCCTGGCAGCTGATTGGGCATCTCCCAAACAAGCATGGGAGGGGTTCAGCCAATAGAGTGTCCTCAGATGCTCTGTTACAGTTTCAGGCATGTAACTCCCTTGTCTGTGTGCCAGTTAGAAAAAAACGGTTAAAAGCCAAATTGAAAACACCCTAAAGCAGATCTGTGTCTATTTCTCCTGGTTCTCTCACCAGCAACTGTCATCAAGCACACACAAGTCACTAATGAACAATTTGCAACATTAGCAATACTAAAAACCAGTCCTAGCTGTTTCTCAGACATACACACACTCACAGCTGCTTGTGCTTACAGGTCTATAAGGGAGTTGCAGAATGGGAATGTCTGAAAAAGTATGTATGTGTCTTGTGATCTTCATCTCCCTCTCGAACACAGAGTTGTTGTGCTGGCAGGCAAGATGTTGTGTTTAAGCTGAAAATAAAGTGTAAACAAAATGTTATTGCTGCTCAGACCTTGATTTGTTACAGTGTGTATGAAAGTGTCCTTTCTATTGAACAGCATATTTTCATTCGTTGCGCCACTGGGTAGAGTTTTAGGGTGTGGCATGAGTACATCTGTCTGTTAGGAAAGCTTGGAACACACGCGCACTTAGCCATGAGTGTGCGCTTGTCACTACACGTTGAGCGAAAGTGTGCCAAAAAAGTTCGAACGTAAAAACAGCCATTTAAAAAAACAAAAAATATGAACCAATCCACATTACGAAGCCTTGTTCTGTTTTCTTAAACAACGGAAATGTTTGTTACAAAAAGTTGGTGCAAAACGTCTGTGTTGCTTAAGCTGCGCCTCTTTTCACATTCCTTCTTTCCCAAGCACACGCCCTATGACAACGAAAAAAACGTTGGCAGGAGTGAACAGTTAAATCACGGAGAAGATATGTGTTAATCTAGCGCAGTCTGAAGAGGAGGATCTGTGAGAAACAAGGAGCGCAGTAACCGACACAGTTTCTTTCTTGCCTTTTGTTGTTCTATCCTAACGGTGAGTCTGATCACTACTTTTCTGTCGTGTCTATGTCATTAATTGTGCTGTTTAATAAGTTAAGTTTATTTCTTCTGCTGTGTCATACATGTTGCATAATTAGCGGGCGTCTCTATTGTCATTCCCAGCGTGATGGCCACAGGGATCAGGTTCTCCTTGGTAATTTAACCCCCAGCCCTTTACACTTCCACAGACACCGGAGTCTCGACTCACGTTTACTTATTCATTTGCGGTGTGTCAGTTCTTCCTCTGGCCTCTCTACAAATTGTCAGGATTATTTAGGGACAAATGTAAACTCGGGCAAGCCCCTGACATCTCCGTTACGCACGGTGCGCTGACTAGTTTTGGCGTATGCGCCAAAGGACATTTTCGCCCCGTTAAACAGCCATACTGATCACTGTACTGACGGTCAGATGTGGGCTCTTATCAGTCTGAATTATTAACGATATGATAAGACTCGGGTAGCGAGACTCGAGTAGCTTTGGCCTGGTGTGACGCGCAGGAGAAATGCCGACCTGGGCGACGACAGATAACATGGAGGAAATGAGTCAATCACACCCAGCCCAAACAAAACGAGCAGGGTGGAGCTGGTCGCTGGGACTTATCAATGCTCAGGAGCTCATGAACTATCAAGTAGCAGAATAATGGCCTGGGTGCTTTGTGTGCAGCCTGGTAAAAGCCGAGAAATTAAGGATGGACAGACAGTTTGTGGCGTCCGGCTTCAGGGGGGGGGGGGGGGGGGGGGGGGGGGAGGTCATGGCATGGGCTGGGTGGCCGTGTACCTAACATGCCTGTAAACTG